CTGGAATTATATCATCCAACTAGAGCCCTTAGATCAGCCTCTGATAATCTAATTCTTAAAATTCCAAAACAAAATTACAAAACATACGGCGAGCGTTCCTTTTTATTCTTTGGTCCCCAGGTATGGAACGAACTCCCATATAAAATAAGATCTGCCCCAACAATTTCCATTTTCAATAATCAGCTGAAGCATTTTTTATTCACAAAAGCACACCTGTCCTAATGATGTACTGTGATATATAAATGCATGTGTACGCCAGACTGTGAGACTGAAGAAACAGCGTGTGAGAATGAGAGAGAGAAAAAGAGAGAGAGAGATAGGGAGAGAAAAGAGAGAGAGATAGAGGGAGAGAGAAAGAGAGAGAAAGAGAGAGAGAGAGAGAGAGAGAGAGAGAGAGAGAGAGAGAGAGAGAGAGAGAGAGAGAGAGAGAGAGAGAGAGAGAGAGAGAGAGAGAGAATGGAAATGTTTTTCTATCTGTATTGAATTAATGTTTTACTGAATGTTTCTAGTTACTCACGTTTCAACTTTACTGTGACCGTTCGTGAATTTTTATTGCATTGTTTTTTTGTTTTTTTTAGTGAACACATTTTCAACCTCACTGCGAGACTATTTTTCTCATATAAAATTTTACACATATGCATTTATATTATATGTATAATACGTTGTTTTATGTACGCACTTGTCGATTAATTTTTAAGACGTGATGTCTTTTTCGTTGTAATGCGCATTGAGCATCTTTAGAAAATGGAAATGCGCAGTATAAATGCTATTTATTATTATTATTATTATTAATACGCAAAGGGCAAGTTTAAAAAAGCCTTTTCAGACAATCTAACACGTTCAAAGTTTAAAAAAAACACATTTTTAAAGCTAATAATCTGTCAATTAGAACCAGACATTTCTCAAAATTGACTTGGTTTTGCTCACGAAGAGTGGGAAGGTACGTGTATGCGTGAGGCCTCTCTTCCTTTACCATGCCAGTGTTTTCCGGCGCGTTAGACAGCACTTGCAAGGATACAAACAGACCTACATTGTTGATATTCGATGTTATGGGATTGATTTTTATGAATGACTTGTTGAAATCTTCGTAAATGACAATGTTAGGAATTTCGAAGAGTGGCTTTGGGCTTTGCTTTGTTCATGAAGTGGAATGGGGTATAGATACGCTAAGCATGCCATCCCGTACTGTTTTATTACACTAATTGCACTTTCCCAAATCGAGTCTGGTAACAAGCTAACATAAATTCGTATGCAGTGTGATGGGGTTCGTGTTTAATGAATGAGTCGTCGCTAGAAACCTTCCACGAATAGGACTCTGACAGCATATGCTCTCACGGTATCTCTGTAAATATGCAGGATGGCTTGTGTGGGAAAAACATTTTCAAGAATACATTTTTATTGTTGAATAAACACAAATCCCTGTAAATAGATGTTGTTGTTGTTTTCAAATCCCTTTAGCTGAAATATCGCTAGATGAATAGCTAGATAGCAAATTTGTGATGGAAATCAATTTTATGTGAATAATATTTTTTGCCTTTTATTGCCCTGTATCTTAATTCGAGCAAAAGCGTCTATTGGTACCTTTCACTAGGTATGCACACACATAACAATAACTATTCCAACATTTGTAAAAACACAAGGAAAGGGGAAAAGGGGAAAAGGAAAATGCAGCTTAACAAATTCGTACAAAGCTTTCAAATAGAAAGTCCTGTTAGGCTACACCTTAGACACCATAATAATTGTCTTCTCTGTGTAGAATTTGAGGACTTAGCTTCAATGTTTTCATTGTCCAAAAGATGTGGTTTATTTTTGACAACTTTTTTCTGTTTACAAAGTTAAAAGGAAATATAATGTATACTTTCTGTTTCTACGTGAAAACTTTGTTATTTTGTAAAAGCAGGAGACGTATTGATTAAAAGACTTCACGGTATGTGAGGAGATAATGCGAAAAGTTAGGGATGTAAACTAGATATTAGAAAGAGAAAAAGGGCCTATTTGCTTCCTTAATATGTTTGAAAGCCCCCAGAAACCTTTTGACTTGTCTTAAGTTGCGGATCATCTATCTATCTATCTATTTATCTATCTATCTGGTGTCGTTGGTGTCCTAGTGGTTAGGCTCTCGGACTCACAGCCGTAAGGTTGTGTGTTCAAATCCTGTCAGTGACCCTACGTTGTGTCATCGGGAAAGGCACTTTACACGAATTTTCCTCACTTCAGCCAGGTGGAAATGGGTGTTCAGCTATAAGCAGTGAAAGATCTTGTCAGTTTGTTAGACAAATTTATTTATTTAATTGTTATATAGATTTAAATTATTTTTTTTGGTAAGTGTTTTACTGCGCTCATAAGTGCATAAAGTCATATAAGCGCGGGACACACCAAACATTTTCAATTGGTAGGAAATTTAGAATTTTCCTCGAGTGGCTGCCGAAGCCTACTTTAATCGATTTTGGACCCCCAAGGGATCTTTAACGCACGCAACTTGCACACGGGACCTCCGAGATTTTTTGCCCTTGTCCGAGAAGGCTAGGTGTAGATCTTTCCTACCAGAAGATCTGGGGTGTGGCTGAAAGACAGCAGTAAGAAGAAGCCAATGACTAGCAGTAGAAAGTCTGCAGAAAGAATCAGAAGCCCAGAAGGGGGGGGGGGCAAAGGAGGTGAAGGGGTGGGGGGCAGAAAGAGGAGACGAAAGCAGACGACAGAACATTGCTAGAGAGTAGGAAAGGAGGTGAAAGGAGACAAATTTAGAGAAGAAAATATTTGGTCGCTACCCTGATTCGAACCCGGGACCTTTGAATGAGGGGCGAACACCTTAACCTCTAGGCCACGAGAGCCCCCATATTTTATATATATATATATATATATATATATATATATATATAGATAGATAGATAGATAGATAGATAGATAGATAGATAGATAGATAGATAGATAGATAGACAGATAGATAGATAGATAGATAGATAGATAGACAGATAGACAGATACATACTGCATTCTTCTTCTTCTTCTTCATTAACAGTTGGACGTTGCATCGCGGACCTTTTTGCACTAAAATACAAACTCGTCTCTTGATATTTTGCCTGAGTGAGTTGTTTTTGTTACAGGCCAGGATTTAATGTCCTGTTCCTATCTTCTAAGCTGTAAAGTGTCCTCTGTCTTCTCTCCTCCCTCATACCTCTGCTTCTCAATTAAATTATCTACTGGTGCATGCAATACAAAGAGTCAACAAAACTGGAACTGGTACAATAAACTTTATTTTGAGGTTACATGAAGCGCACAAAATGTAAGTGACGATTTCCGTAAGAATTTTGCACAATACAATGCTGAAGCAAAGACTCCATTGCATTAATCTACCCATATAGCAATGAGCAGTAATTATACGTTAGTAGCCTATTAGTATATCTAATGTTGTAGACATGCATACATGCATTTTACTCATATTGAGTACGGAGAGGGTAGTTCTGAATTTATCGACACCAAAGGAAAAAAAGTAAACCTAAGGTAGCCTACACAAGGATCGATAGATAATTTTAAAAACATTTTTAAAAATAACAGCCCTTCTCCCCCCTCCTCCTTGCCCCCCCCCCCCCTCCTAGAGAAATGGATATATCACCAGATAAAGAAACGTGGTAAGAAATGAGAATAACAAATTTTATAAACAAACCCTTTTAACAAAGTGAAATGAAATAACATTTAATTACACCCATCAGCTCCACGCCATGAACCCAAAGAAAAGTTCAGACACAAAATCTAATGCACAGTGAAGATCGTTCAATACATTGATCTTTTTTTTACAGTAGCTCAGTTTTTCAGTCATAGAAATGTTCCAAAACTTTCATCGCGTCCTGATAGATTCATACTAAGGGAACCTAAACAAATTGGTAACAGGGAAAGATCAGGGAAACGTAGCTTTTTTTAGAGCATCCGAGCAAAGGAATGAATGGAGAACTATGATCGCCGATGTCTGTCGCAGATCTGGCACTGGATGATGATGATAGATTCATATAACTATGAGTCCAGACTAGACATGTATTCACTTTATCGTGAGGAGTGTGCTAATTAGAAGACAACCACTTAAATTCCAGGTCCTTCAGTTCTCTTTGGGATTTTTTTTATACCGCAATATGTATACTTTTCAAGGCTTTATGTTTTGGCATAATTTCCTCTCCGAAAGAGGCGTCGGTACCCTTGTGGGTAGGCTACCAGAGTAACAATCGTGAGGTTGTGGGTTCGGTGGTTTGAGCCTAAGCTCTGCCCGACGTTGTGTCCTTGGGAGAGGCACTTTATGCGAATTTCCGATTTGCTTCGAAGTTTCGGAGATATACTTTAAACTCGGAAGTTCAGCCAGTTAAATAACATAATAATGTTGATAAGGGCGTTAAACCTATACCATTTCACCTTTCTTATTTCCCGACAGAACATTTTTAAATTTTGAGCAAGCATCGATAACAGCGTTTTCAAATAACAAATGTACTGTCATATAATTACTTGAGGAATACTCTATCCATTCAATACTTTACTTTAGTTAACTTTGAATTTTACGGTGCCCAGAACATCATAAGGATAATAATATGTGGACGAGAGAAACACAAGTTGGGGGCATTCCCAACACACCAGTTCACAACAAGGTTTGGTTTTGGTCAATGATCAGAATATTAAATACTTCAAAATTTTACGGTGAAAAGGTAAATCTTAGAAAATAAAAATGACAATTTACATTACATTATAATAACTTCTATACTTTTGAATCATGGAAACCAAAATTTATTTATTCTCAGATGATGAAGACTTTGGAGAAACAGTCCGAACAACACATTGAGCAAACGGGTAATGCTACAGGTGCAGGTTATTAACCAAAAGGGCAATCTTTGAACTACTGAGCTAAGTTTGAAAGCATGAAAATAAAAGGAGCTGTTAGAACGAGAGTTAAATCAATTTATTCATGGGAATATATGGGTGTAAAACATGAAATAGAAATGTATTGTTAGAACGAGAGTTGAATCAATTCCTGAATGAGACAAGGATGTAAAAGATGAAATATAAAGGTTCTGTTACATGAAAAAGCAACAGTATCCCCATCTGCTTACAAGACAATAATCTTGAAATCATAAAATTTTAAAAAGGTACTGTTAGACCGAGCATTAAATCCATTAATGAATGAGATACGGATGTAAATGACGACATATAAAAGTTCTGTCACATGAAACAAAGAGCATTACACCCATCTGAACAAATATGAACAAAAAGACTACAATAATATGATCGACTTTGCAAAAAAATAATATCCAAGTTCCTGCTGAAATGAATCATCGCTTGCTAACTGGTGGTAGCACAATTTTGAACGTGTCATTTGACACTTGAATAAAAGGAAACTACGTGGGTTTTTTTTTCTTCTTAAAGCTAGTCCATCAAGTGCTTATCTATAATATTCCGATGGATTCATAGTCAACAATTTAATGGTTAACCACTGTTCATGGCTAAATTATGTATAGGAGCGTCGCTTTGTAAGCATGTGACATGAGATGTAGGAAAGGGGGTGAACGGAGAACTTTTGAAAGAAGAAATTTTTCCATCGCTGTCAGGTTTTAAACCCAAGGCCTATTGAATGAGAAGCGAACACCCTAACCTCTAGACCACGAAAGCCCCCTCCCCCCACCCCCTGGCGTTAGTCCGAGATAACACTCAGCTCCCGATCTATATTCTAACTGTGAGCTTGAGAAAAATGAAAGAAGTTAGTAAGAACCAGACACACAGAAAGACGACGAAAGAGACGTTGTTAATGATTCTTCCTATCTCTCTGTACTTGGTTCCGACTTCGCGCTCAACATCATTAAGACTGTCCGTATCCAGGATCTTGCTCATTTTCTTTCCATGTTCTTGTTCTAGTTGTTCGAGTTTCTCTTGGTTCGAGGTGACGGGAGATTTCTCCTTTTTGACAAGTGCTTGACTGAAGAAACCCATGAAAAAACTCCTCTCTTCCTCCTGAATGCTGTTTGCGTACCTCTGGGGAAACAAAAGATATTAGCAATGTTACGAAAAAGACTCCAGCGTTTTATTGAAGGCATACCTTATATACTACTTAAAAATACAAAATTTCTGTTGACAATGTGTATCCAAAAGTGTTCACGCTGTATGGAAAAAAGTAATTGTAATTTTCTAGACTTCTGTGTTGAATGGAGAAAGCGAGTGGATGGTAAAGGCTGCCTCTTTCCTTTCTCTCATCTTTCTGTCCATGTCTTGCTCCTTTCCTGTAGTAAATAACCTTTCATAATTGTGTCAAATTGCTTAAAACTTCAACCCCCCCTTCCCCAACAAACAAAAACAGAAACAAAACAACACCATAATTATAAACAATAGAAAAAACCTCTGATATTCAGCGATATTTTCTTGTCTGAACTGGATATATAATTAACTACCAAGAAGCAGACTATATAGATCTATCCATTAAATAGTTTTACAAACTTGTTTATCTAAAGCAAAAGGTCTTACCATTACAACGTAGACGCCCATTTGACCTCAGAGCAACCCAACAACATTAGTATGTTTATAAACACAAAATTAGCAATATGTAGGAATGTTCCATTTACCAGACACTCCAAAAACTCACCTCGTCTAGATGATAAAAGAGAACGACAACGATGCTGAGGACGACGGTCAGGAGGGAGATGATAAGGAGGACGAAGATGTAGATAATGAGGAGAGACACGGAGGTTGAGTCACGGGGCAGCATAGAGCTCGCCATACTCATGGACAGCGCCAGAGCCAGAAGCACGGTGATGCCTGTGAGAACACGGAGTAAGACAATACATGGCAAAACATAATGATAATAATAATAATAATAATGATACTACTACTACTACTACTACTACTACTACTACTACTACTACTACTACTACTAATAATAATAATAATAATACAGAGAACAATATTCATCATCATCATAATCATCATCATCATCATCATCATCATCATCATCATCATCATAATCATCATCATTATCATCATCATCATCATCATCATCATCCTACAAATAATGGTACATAGTGACTAATTGGTACGTTTGGCGCGTGTTTAGTATCCCCTTTAACTCAGCAATGCTATTTATAAGAAGGAACTCCCGAGTTTCAGGCCATCCTCCTACAGGACAAAGTCAAATCGGTGGAAAGCCGTGGAAACTGCTGTAACAACCCAAGTGTGGATTCATAATACGGGCTTTCCACATAATATAAGTCGAGTACGGTACCACCTTGACCATGACCTTGACCATCAATGATTTATTTATAGAGGCACCAGCCATCCATGTTAGCATCTTACCATTAAATACAATATTCACACGGCTTCTTTCGCCTACACAATTCCCATGTAAGGTAAACAAGATTTTTAAAACCCATAAAGTGAACACTGACAGCCTTAACGTTTCACAATCCAACGTGTTTCTGTCGAAACATTCCAAAATAAATGAAGATGGAGCTACCACACTTAAGGATTTAAACTTTTGACTCATCGTAATAGGATAACCTGCTCTCGACTGCACCAAACCGTGGTGCGCAAGCAGTAATCCCTGAGAACCACTTTTGCTGCATGAGTTTAAGACAGCGAAGGCACGTAACAGAAATCAGAATTTGAAGTAAAAGAAAGTAAATTTTACTGTAGTCGACATTTGTGTTACAACGCAGTGGAATCAAAGATAGTACAAGACAAGATGGGCCACTTCTCTCTTTGAGCCAATTAAAAAAGTGTCCTCAAAATTTGGTGGCGCCCTCTTCACAAAAGCGCACTGTTTGCGAACAGAGTTACCCTACTTGAGTTTTAAAAAATCAAAGTGAAACTAGCAAGTTTTGGGATAAATTTCGGAAGAACGTTTTTTAAAAATGGTTACGCTGACAAAAAACCTCTTCCGGAGGAAAAGGAGATGGTTTTCTTCGTTTAATTTGACTTTAGAATGAAGGGCGAGAGGTCATTAAAATATAAAAAAAACTAAAACTCCGCACTGAACGTACCCGAACTGCTGATGAACAGCAGTCGATCTGCGCACGCAAGGAGGTGCTATTCCTATTCTTCTTCTGGAAAAACGAACGAGAGCTTCAAAACAGACTGCAGCGCCATCTGAAGCAAAGAGCATACTTCCTGCGGACACTTTTTAGGCTGAGTGGACCATCTTGTCTTGTACTATCTTTGGTGGAATTGGGCCCTCGTCAATTTTGAAGCATATGCAGTTATTGACATCATCTTAAAACGTGTTCATTTATCTTGCTTTCCATGAAAATAATTACTCCTCTATCTTTAAAAGAAGTCGAAATATTCTGGATTGAAATAGACGGGGTCACCTGGTTTCTGAGGTGAAATCAGAGAGAATATGGCTGCAAAAGCTTGGTGACTTCCAAAGCTTGATCAAGAGTCCTTGGAAACGGTAGATTAACAGGTTTTGTGTCTTTAATCAACGTTTTTCTGCAAAATCGATACAGAAATGTGATTTTAAATAAGTAAAAACGGTGTTAAGCCAAGAAACAAAAATCCCATTAAAAATCGTCAAACTGGCAGAAAAATGCCAGTTTCTTCACTTACTATTTTGACGAGCGGCTTCACATTTTACTTTTGAAATATTGCCAACACAATTCTTACCGAAACTGATTTTCTCTCCGGACTCTTCTGGTATGAGGAAGACCATGATGTTGAGAAGAGAGAGAAATACGATGGGTAGAACAGTGTTCAGCAGTAGGAACACATGGCGTCTTTGTAGTCTATATGTAATCTGTGATAAACCAAGAAAACAGAAGCCTCTAAAACCCATTTTAATTGGCAATAAATGTCTTGTTGCTCCTAATAATACCGTTTCTTTTTTAAAACATGATTAAAAACTTTAATAGACAATATAATGCCTGATCCTCATTGTTCTTAGGGATTTGACAGAATGCTACAGGTTTGTGATAGCTAATAATTTTTCAACTACATTTGTAAAATGAAACAAAACGTATCTATCAGTGCATTTAGCTTTTGGAGACGTAAAAGTTTAAGTTGATCCCAAAGTTTATGTAGCAATAAGAGTAGCAAAGCCAAAAACACACGTGTGGCATCCTGGTGAAGTCAGGCGCTCGTTCAATTATGAAATCAAAGAAATCGACATATTTCCACTCCTTGGGGAATATTGTTTTTTACTTTGGCTCAACATCCTTTACGTTTATTCAAAACCACATTAAAATTTCTGTGTGGATTTTTACTGAAAAACGTTTAACAATGGCACAACCAATAAATAAATTTGCAGTTTCCAAAGACACTAAAGTTTTGAAAGTCCTTCATAACAAAACAAAACAAAACAGAAAAGCAACAAGCAAACAAACAAACAGACACACACACACACACACACACACACACACACACACACACACACATACAAACAGACACACAGCCCCACAAAATACCAGACAAGCACAAGAAATGTAATGAACAAAAGTCTTACAACTATAGCAGAGACGTTTGTTACTTGAGGTGAATTTTCAGTGTCCACGCAAGCGTCGACGATGTTCCACTCCCCGTGAGACGTCAGGGAGTTCACGTCTACTTTCTTCCTCAGGGGGATAAATTTCAGTTGTTGGTCGTTGTAGGACATGCTGAGAAACTGACGAAAAAGAAACAAAAATATAATTTTTTGCGAGGCATGGTGATGAAATCAGGCACTCGTCAAAATAATGAAATCGAAGAAAAAGTCGCTTTCCATTAGTTTGAGATTTTTTCTAGAATTTTTTTTTGATGGTTAAGCACCATTAGAACAATAAAACTCACTTCCATATGAATTTTACGGAAAAACCTTGTTTAAAGGCACGAAGTATATAATTTTTTTTTTTTTCAGGACTCTTAAGCTATTTAAGTTACCAAACTTTGGCGGCTATTTTCTCATTAATTTAACAACTGAAACCAGGTTACCTCACCTTCTTCAATCGCTCATATCTCGACTTCTATTTAAGCTAGATGGATATTCTTTTCATTGAACGCAAGGCAAAGGAATAAGCTTTTAGATGATATCTATAACTCCACATGCCCAAAATTGGCGAGCGCCTGATTCCATCGTGTTGTAAGACTATTATTTCAAATGTAGGTTTTTTAAAGGCCCCTAATTTAAATCATTTGGGAGACGGGTTGCGCATGGCTCTCATATGACCTTATATTATAATTTGGTAGCGGAATTAAATCTTACCAAACTGAAACTGTGGGGACGGGTTTCTGACCATTTCATTCAGGGCCAACATGAATTGAGAAGGATACAACATCTCAGCAGAAAGACTGAGATACTAAATAATACTTCTCCCCTCTTGGGAATTGAACTCGGGTCTCCTCCGACTGTGTAGTGCCTGACCACAACACCACAAACACTAGTGGAACTTAATAGAAAAAAAAGAATAAATACAAATTGATTAACGAACTTTGAAGGCTTTGGCACTACGGTGCATACCAGAACGGTGTCTTTTTGGGTTAATGTAAGAAGATCGGTCAAGAAACGGAAAATGTATATTGGAGGCTACTGTTCCTTTTCTAAGGGAAGATAATATGAACTGGGTTTTTTTTGTTGGTTCTGCTCCACAGGTAAAAAAGAAACACAGTCTTTGTAAGGACACATCCTGATGTTGACAAATAGGCAAGATTTTTTCTCTGCATCACACTTATGTCATCCGTTTAAGATTGAAAGCTTCGGAAAAGCTTTGCCAGAATTTGGTTGGAAACGATGATGATATTACTACAACTACAACTACTACTACTACTACTACTACTACTGCTACTGCTACTACTACTACTACTACTACTACTACTACTACTACTACTACTACTACTACTATTACTACTACTACTACTACTACTACTACTACTACTACTACTATTACTACTACTACTATTACTACTAATAAAAATAATTGTTATAGATAGCATTTGTATAGCGCTCAACGGCAAGCTCTAAGCGCTTCACAATCACTACTTTTACCCCTGCAGACCAGAGAGCATTCTGAAACAACCTCAACTTCCTAGGAAGCATAAAGTGCAAGCGGCCATTTAAAAGGCGTTAAAAAGCCAACAAACTGACTAGATCTTTCGCTCTCCATGGCCGGCACCCATTCCCACCTGGGTGAAGTGAGGAAAATTCGTGAAAAGTGCCTTTCAAAAGGGCACCCACGTCTCGAACCAAGCATAATTTAATAAAAGTTTAATAATTTTTTGGGCATAATTCTGATTATTTTTCTTTATTATTCTTTGTTAAAATTAACGGAATCGCATAATTTCAGATTTTTGGGCTCAGTTTGCATAATTTCAGAATTGTTCTTGCATAAAACGACGGGGACAGGTAACCTTAACACCTCGTACCACCAAAGCCACAGTACAGGATTGTAGCACACACAAAAAATTGCAATGTACCGTCAGTGTGCACTTCTGTTCATCAAATGGGAAGTTGGTCACATCCATGGCACACGAAGCTGGGAAGAGGCCGCCAGGGAACCATAAGGTGGTTCCTGAATCTTCAACTATCAGAGGTCTGTAAAAACATTTGGATGTTGGGAGATTTAAAAAAGGAAAGGGGGTAGGGGGGGGGAGGGAGTGTGAATGGGGTGGGGGATGGATTGAGAGGGCATATGTTGAAATGAAATATACATGGGTCGAGCATACAAAATCATGTCTGTTTGTTTTGTGCCAATGTTTGTTTCTTTTGTTTGAGTAAAGAGAAGCACATCGATACAACGTTGTAAAATAACAGAACAAACTCAAACCAGAGTGATATTCATTGATATTTTCCCGTCCAACAACATAATCTACTAAGGTAAATAAGGACACAATGTGTGAGTCTGCAATTTTGACATTGATAATATAAATGAGGTCGGTAAATGGGTTAGGAAGTCAAATCCAATATTAGAAATGACGATCTTTTCAGTAAGAACATATCCCTTGTAATTGGTTTGTTCTTTGGGCTTTCTGACGTGGTTTACACCTTCCCTGTCAAGCAACTATCATCCTTAGTTCGCCAAAATCTTTTCTTTGTATATTTCTTTCAAGTAACGTTTGTAATCTTGAGTGCTTAGATGACCGGTTAATTGTGTTGCAATTGACGTAAAACGTTTTCTAAATTTAAAGTAAAAGCATCCAATGTTACTTATCAGGACAAGTCTACGAGCAAGGACAACATCGCCTACGTGACAAGAAGTTGTAATAAAAACAAGTTTATAGGTTTAAAGTGTCTATGTACACTATTAATTAATGTAAGAGGTGTAACGCAATTGTAGCTTCAGTTCAAAATGTCAAACTCACGTCCCCCCTCCCCCCCCCACCCCCCGGGGCAGTGCTACTAACTGAAGTGTCTTTAGGCCATTCTTAAAGGGGGGCTATTAACAAGTTTTTATGCTCAGTAGAATTGTAAATGGGCTCATTTATCAGTGCCATGCTCATACTGTGCTGGAACAACTTAGGGGAAACTTTTGCTTTTTCTTTCCTCGTCCTTTCTATCGTCACTTTTCCTCTACTTCTTTTATATGTTTGTCACTCTCTTGTGAACTGCTATTTCCATGGTGCCTTGATAGTCGAAGCACACTTTGTGCTTTTGAGATTAGAGAGATGAGCAGAGTAAGCCTAATTTCCCGTATAGACTTCTCTGTTGACATCCACCCCTTGGCGCTCATATGACCGTGTGCAGTTGCAAGCGACGTAAAAACCTTCATCATCTTTCGGTGCCTTGCCGACTGGCGTGGGCGATCATGGACCTCCACCTCACTCTGTCTTGCGTTGCAGCAATGGTGTCTGTTGTTCTTGCTGCTCCTAGCCATGTGGTCATCTTGTCCAGTATCTTTCCCCTCTGTCTGCCTCTGCCTCTCTTTCAGTCAAACTTGCCCTGTTGCTACAATATTCTCCAATGCTTCTTTCCGCATGGTCTCCAATGCTTCTTTCCGCATTGTGTGTCCGAAGACATTTGCCTGGTAAAAACCTTACTAAAACAAAAAAACCAACACTCACGCATAATCGTCTTCAAAGAGGTCCCTGTCTCCCACAGTGTTCAGCAGGACAAGTCGTGGTCTCCATACATTTGGGGTCTCGGGGTTAACCCGTTTAGTGCCGCCATATAGTGCCGGGTCCCAAGCCAGTCGCTGAATTTGCAGAAAAGGTGCCGAAGAACAAACAGCACTTAAATACATAAACAAGAAAAAAACAGCCCCCCCCCCCCGAAACAAATGCAAGAAGACACAACCCACCCCCTTTCCAGACATACACAGACACACACACAGACAAACACTCACAGACACACACACACACACACACACACACACACACATACTCACACACATACACAAACATACGCATACATACACGAGCACATACATACACACACACACAAACACACACACACACACACACACACATGCGCACACATACACATACATACACACACATTCACACATGCACACACACCCACACACACGCACACACACACAGAAACACACAAACACACACAAACAGACACACGCTCACACATACACACACACTCATACACGCAAACAAACCACACTCTCTATCCATCTATCTATCTATCTATCTATCTACCTATCTATCTATCTATCTATCTACCTATCTATCTATCTATTACACGTAATATTATAATATAATATTATTTGCTGGCTTTACCTCGTCCATCCAAATGAGTTGTAGGAAGCCATTAGATGTGAAAGTCTGTCTGACGTCATCTAGGCCCACTATGGACACAAGGAAGAAAGAGACATTCACTGTGATGACTTCCGTTTGGTTGTTAATGGGCCTCATCTGAAAGTGTACAGAACAGTAGCATTGGGTAAAGTAATGTAAAGTGTGTGGGTGTGTTTGTTTTCTGGGATTTTTTACTGCGAGCTCATATGACCTTAAGCAGTTGCGAGCGCCATAAAACACACACACACACACACACACACACACACACACACACACACACACACACGCGCGCGCGCGCGCGCGCGCGTAAAGGATTGGTACTGGTAAAAAAGCAATTAGCTGGCTTGCTCATGTTTTCTGTTACTTGAACATGAACGCGACATTTCAAAGACGTTGTGTTCCTGCGAATCCGGTGCTGGTACATTACATGGGTCAAAATAAATCGCCGTCTTACAAACTTTGGGCATAGCTTATCGTTTCTTTTTTAAAGTATGTGTTTTACACCCCAATAAGCACTATTCATATATTGCTGTATTCATTCAACAAGTCTATGTTGCTTGATACATCGAATCTATATTATTGCTTGATTAACCGAGTCTTTATTGCTTGATTCACCGTCTATGTTGCTGAATTAGTTCACTGAATCTACAAAACTAAATGATTCCTTTAATTTATATGGTGCTGAGTTCTACTATAGATGCTTTTATGCCATAATTGAAACATTTTCGACACACTTTAGATTATCTAGGAGGCTGGCTGCAGACTTCCACCTGCCAGGTTCCGCCTGGGCTGAGAGGGATACAACATCCCAGCAGAAAGACCGAGATGCTTGTAAAATTATTCTCCCGATTCAGGAATCAAACTCAAGTCTCCTCTGAGCGACAGCGAATGCCTAACATCTACACCACAGACAAGAGTATTTATTTCTTGAAACTAGCGTAACTGTGTAATGACGACAGGTATTGCAAATGTTACCGTACCTTGATATCTACACTATCTTAGAAGGGTGATAAAATTAAAAAATGAAAGCTTGAATTTAGACTTGGCGTCCTTAAAATGGTGTCAATGCATTACACCAATGAATAATGACACATTTACAGCGGAAACTTGTATTATTAAAATTATATCCAAATAAAAGAAAAGAAAATCAAATCAAATCTAAATGGAAACAGAACTCACCAGAACAGCCAGAATAGTTGAAATTAATAATAATGCACCACATTAATACCAATTTTATAAATGAAAACGAAATAAATCAAGCCTAAAAATATAAGCAAGATGGAGATAAGAATGGTGGTAGAGGAACTTACGTTTGTATTGTAGACACTTGGGAGTAATTTGTCGTCGTAGATTGCCTTTGTCTCTTCATACGTCTGCGCGAAAACTGTCCGGAAGCAGAGGCATAACACGATTATCATCTTCTGTTCACCGGACGACGGACTGAATCGTTTATATAAAATGGTCATTTTGAACAAGTCTTAATCAACCAACTATCTGTTGCTGAATTCACGACGTCTATATCGCTGTGTTTGCCGGGTCTCTGTTGTTGTATTCACCGAGTTTATATTTCTGGGGTAACAAATTCTCTTTGTCTGTTTCATCAAATCTGTGTTGCTGCATACAATGAGTCTCTGTCTGTATTTACGGAGTCTATATTGCTAAATTCTCCTCGTTGATATTACTGAATTTATTCTCCAAATCTACTTAATTAAGATAATTCACCGAGTCTATACTGCTGAATTCAAACACTGAGCCTGTGTTGCTGAATTCTCCAAGACTGTATTGTTGAATTCGACAAGTCAATATTAATGAATTCACAGAGTCTACAGTGCTAAATTCGGTCTCCAAATCTACCTGAAATCATTTACCAAGTCTATATTGCTGCATTCCTTCACCAAGTCTATGTTGCATCGAGTCTATATTATTGCTAGATTAACCGAGTCTTTATTGCTTGATTCACAGTCTATATTGTTGAATTAGCTCACCGAATCTACATAACTAATTAATTCCTTCAAATTATGTACATTGCTAGAATTCACTGTCCCAGTTGCTCTCGGAAAATAAGGCAATCTGCCTTTACGGAATCAGGCTCTAAAACACGTCAAGAATGTGGGCTAGTGTTCACTTACTAAAGACTTTTTTCGATTTTACTTTCGTCTTGTCAGTTATCAGCTTAGCGATCTTTATTAAGAGATAAAAATATTGACTGTTTACATTACCTCCGACAGAATCTGACTCTTCTGCGTGTTTACATTTCACAGAAAGACGACGGTCGCCGGGAAGCTGTGGGTTGATCGACTGGCTGCAACTAATGATAGGATTATGTTCAACGAGTCATTGAGGGGGTCAATTACCGCGCTATTCAGTGAGTAAACAGCCTCAGAACAATGAAATTTCACGTTCATACGTGACGTTTGCTCATACGCAAGCCAAACCCGTGAACCATAGAAGCGATGATCTGCCCCTCCTCTCCAAATACACGCCCGTCCACCCCCTCCCGGCACACGCACCCATTACCCATCCCCCCTACCTCCCACAATAAAAAAAGAACCTGTCATGTTCTCTTGTTCCCTCAATCAGGCTGTTCCGGGGAATGATTTAGATCACACATCAGCGTTCATCGATGTTTCGATTTTTGGTCATTACCCAACAGCTGATGTTTATTGATCGATTCGACTGTCGAGATCGTATCTTCTTCTTTGTCATATATTTTTCTGAGAGACGATGTTTTTCGGACCTTCTACAATAAAACACTCTGCCTCTTGCCATTTTCCCAGCCTATGATGTTTTGGATCCAAGCCAATTCTCTTTGTGTGTTTGAGGCATAAAAGACCCCGCTTAGTATAGACTTGTTCGATGAAGAATCACTTGACAATGAAGTGCTGATTCTTGATTATTTTAATTGTCTACCGTTTGGACTTTTAGCGAAAACATGTCGTTTACGTTTGCTTTCATGTCTGGGGGACAAAACGATAACTTGCGGTCTGCTTGGCTAAACGGAATTAGCACTTATAAGGTAATATTGACATTTCTCTTGAATACTTGATTTCGTGTTATATCATTTCCAAAGGGACACGAAGACAGCAAATGACCTGTGTCATAACTTCAGATTTCTTTAAAGATTAAGAGATGTCACGCTCCCGGAAGAATAATGATAATATCTCGAACATTTCTGATAACTGAGGGTTTTTTTTTCGTTTTGATCAGCTCTTAACAAAGTGTTTCAAATCTGTATGTCACAAAGGTTGTATTCGAGTCTATCTATCTATCTACCTATCAATCTATCTATCTATCTATCTATCTATTAAGGACAGAGAGTATAACGGCTGCCGGCCGTAAACGATGGATGGTTCGACGACCTCTGGGCCAGAGATGGGTTTTTTTACATGTCCTTTTTATGTTCACTTAATGTTACAAACAACCACTCAGTTTTTGTAAACAGTTCCTACTAGTATCTCGACTGATTGCGTACACTGCAGCACTTCATCATCATCATCATCATCATCATCATCATCATCATCATCATCATCATCATCATCATCATCATCATCATCATCATCATCATCACCAGCCTTTCTCACCCAATGCTAGAGTACAGGCCACCAACAAGACCTTTCCAACTTATACTCCTGTCCTTGGCTGATAGTCTCCACCTCTGTCCAGCTGTATCCCATCTACTGCAGTAGACCATGATAAAACTCCCTGGGGTAATTTCACTGCAACCGCACTCAAAAACTTCCTATTAAGATGCAAATGTTTTTCACCGAACAATCGAGCTGGCTCTCAAGAGTTCATCCAAGCCCTTACTGGATAGTATGATTTATAATTGAGCACTTTGTCCATAATTGTGGTATGCTGGAAAATAAAACAAAAAGTCGCTCTTTGGCAAAGATCGTTAAAAATGTCACCAATCAGCTAAATATTGTTATAACTAACTAAATCATTTAAGTCAATTTCGGTTCAAACCTCGGAAGCGTTGTGCATTCATCAAATTCATAACCGCCTGTGCAGCTGTACGTCATATTTTCTATGTGCGACTGAGAAAAAGCAAAGACCTTAGTAATTTTAGTCACACCACTAAGCAAGCGCGGGATTACAAAATAATAAAGTCTACCTCGGCACCCTCTGCCCCTCTCCCCTAGTTCATCTCTCTTTTCCTCGCCTCGGTGCCAGCAATTAATTATATACTGTATCTTATCTACAGCAAGGATGTCTTCTCTGAACTGACGCTCGATTCAGCCCAGCTCTCTTTCTTGTCAATCTTTCAGAAAACAAAGCCCTGCAAGTTTCGAAGCGGTCTACTAATTGGTGTCCTGGTGAGTATTAAGGGTATCAAACGCACAGTTATATGGAGAACAGATATAACTGAATGTCTTGAACCAGTAAACACACTTTAATACATTATGACTTTGATCACGCAGACCAATACTGATGATTACTACATCAAATGCATTGAGAAGGTAGTGTAAATAGCAATACCGTTAAAACATTTCGTGCCAATGATAGTTTTAGCTGTGGTGGAGGCTATGATTAGAGTGCAAGGGAAACGAAACAAAGAGTAAATTCCTAGTGAAAAATCACACATTAAGATACATAACCGTACATTGTATTAAAATATTAGTTGAAAGACAGAGGAAAAATTGGCTTACACAATGGCAGAAAATAGCTAGCTAGTGCACCCATGTTTAGCAGAGGTGTCCGGTGACCATTCATGCCTAACTAAAGCTGAATTATTGTCACTTACTAAATTTTGCGTCTTTTGAAGCCTGGCCTGCCTTGTTGTTATTTTAATAAAAGTAGTCCTAGAGGCTTTTGCGATTACATGAAAAGACCCAACGGATTTCTTTCCCACGCTAGGAATATACTTTTGAAGAATAACTGTTTTTTCCTGAAATGTAGATATACCCTTCAAAGCCTGTGATGGTTGAGTCAAAGCAACCTGCACCCTACCTGATTAAAATTTTGTGTCAATAAATCGTATCGTTAAAAATAATTACAAGAAATATAAAAATGTACTTATTTCGGCCTGATCCTAAACAGCTATCACAAACCTTTTTTATGCTTAAAATGTAACTTCAGGCTTTAACACATAATAAAATAAGATGTTGTTGTTGCTGTTTTCAAATCCCTTTATCTGCGAGTATTTCGCTCTTGGCAGCGCAAAGCCTCCCTCAAGTAACCACATGTCCTTGTCATCTGGTCAACGCCAGAGTAGAGCAGGGTTTGTAAGTTTGTAGGTGTGTGTAGGAGCTTGCGTCGAAGAACTGCCAGGTTTGGGCAGAATATGATAAGATAAGATAAGATAGAATCTACTACTTTGTTATCCCAGAGGGAAGTTTTTCTTGGCTGTACAGGACCGTAAAAACACATGCAAGTATACGTAAAAAAATCAATTTGTACAATACTCTCAGTAAAATTCAATATGAAAAGAGAAGTAAAGTTGACAAGATATACATTTCACATCAGATGCATCTTTCAACCGCCAGCAGGAATTTAATTACAAGACCTTTAGAGTTATGAGACTCATACTCGAAAGAGCAGTACACATTAATGCTTATTCTGAAAATAGTCTTATGCAAGATGGTAAAAGTCTTCTTTTACATCGTTCTCTCTTCTATTTTTAGAGACATTTATCTGCCGAGGGGTGATCTGACAATTTACGCAGAAAGAGGATGTGCTGGTTAATTCATACAGTTTATCTTTTTTATGCTAGTTCTGTTATACAACTAATTCATCAGTTCTATCAAAATCATATCCAGCGATCTTGCTGGCTTTCTTAATGTTTCTTTCAATTTTTTCTTTATCTGTCACTCTTCCATTCCCAGGCCATCAACAAATACAATAATTTGTTACTACTTCAGAGCCAAACACAGAATATTACTTTAACACAGCAGATTCAAACAGAAATGAATTTGCCACTTCAGAGTCAAGCACAGCATATATTTTCACAGAGAAATTTAGGGCAAACGACCCTGTTAGACATTAATTAACACCATTACACCACTTGCTCCTAAACTCAGCAGTAAGTCCTATGAATTCACACCAAATCAGGCAATGGCTGCATACTAATTTAAAAAAAAATAATAAAGAATAAAAATCGACAAAAAATTTATGCAGCTCTATTATTTACAACATCATGGCAATAAAAATGGTCTTGTTAAATGAGTCAGTTTTGTTTTTTTTCTAATTGAGGTTACCCTTAACACAACGAGTTTTTAGGGCTCCAGTATACCCCACACATCGCGCACGTACAATGACACAATTATTGTAACTCCATGATACATAGTTTTAAGAAAATTGGATTTAAAATTCATACACTTTTCGCTAAAATGGTTTTACGTCTTCATGAAACTGTACAAAAAATTATACAGGTCAGACTTTCTCCTGTGTTGGACACAGTGTGCAGGGCATATGTTTTAGTAATGTGTCCTGTGTAACTCAGTTCTAGGAAAAGTGGAAGTTGGACCCCTGTCATTCTAAGAGAGCTGTATTGTAGTTCCAGCGATAGCGCAGTTCCAAGAGGAAAAACAACAACAAAAAACGTAACAACTGGAGTTTCTTGTTATTTCTTTCCCAAAGTTATACGGGAGAAGCAGTTTTCAATATTGTAGACTAGCAATCTTTTGCCCCAACCATAATATTATTAAGTGTGGGATTTTCTAGTAAGCAAAACGAAAAATAGTACAGTGACAGAACACCAGACAAAGAGAAAGATAGCAAAGCAGACGTTATTTATCCATCTCGCTATCCGTTTGTAGGACCAGCCGTGGGAATGCTTAGGGGAATAGTTCTCATCTGGAATTTCGTCCATATCCATAGGTAGCTTCAGTTCGGGATAGACACATTTCTCTTGGTTCACGAATGCCACTGACGATTTGGAGGAGGCTTTCCAGGACGGTCTGATGGGGCTCATTTTTTCTTTTAGTCTACCGACGGCGTGCCTCTGGGAAAAAATAATAATGATAATAATAATAAAATAGTAATGATAATAATAATAATAATAATAATAATAATAATAATAATAATGATAATAATAATAATAATAATGATAATAATAATAACAACAATAAAAATAAAAACAATAATGACGATGACAATAATAGCCTGCATCTGTATAAAACTCGAACCCACACAAGAGTACTCTCTGAGTGCTTTACGTGGCGTGACTACTGAGAGAAAATCTTCACACATACAACATAAAAGCATAAACATTTCATATGAAACAAGAAAACGAGTTAAATCACATAAGAGATACCTTTTTCAAAAGTATGTTAATTATAAACACATCAGGACGTTTACAATAAACAGATGTGTTGACATTAAAATTCAAAAATGCTCTCTGTGAGGCAAACTTACCTCTTCTTTATAGTGGAAGAAGGAGACAATGACAGTGACGATGACGGTGAGGAGGGAGATGACGAGGAGGATGGAGATGTAGATGAGAAGGAGAGCCATGTCTGTGGCAGACCGCGGCAGCATTGTGCTAGTGAGGCTTAGACACAACGTGAGGGCCAGGAGTACGGTGATGCCTGTGAGAAACAAAGGGAATATTTGTGTAGCATCGTGGTGAAATCAGTCTCTCGTCATAATAATGAAATCGAAGACACCGGCATTTTTTCCGGTCGTTGGAAAATTCTGATAAACTTTTACAAATTTTTGAACATCATTAATGTCCATGTCAAAATACACATACACATTTCTGTATGGATTCTACTTACTGACGCTGATCAAAGGCATACACACTTTTTAGGTAAATTTACAGCTTCCTAGGACGCTCAAGCTCTGGAAGCCACTAACATTTTGTAGCCATTTTCTCACTTATTCTTTCTCTAACAGCAGTTGACTTTCACCTTCGATTGCAAATATCTCAACTTCTATTAAAGAAAGAAGAACGACGACTTGATTTCACCATGTGACATAACTAGAGTATTTTTCCTCTTCCTTCACCAATACTTATTCATTAGATATATATTTTAGCCAATCACCCCTCCCCTCCCCTCCCCTCCCCTCCCCTCCCCGACCCCTAGAAATCAACACACTCTGTTTTATTGCAACCCTCCCCCCACCCACTCTCACACAATTCCTTGGTATCTTGATGCCGTTTGCTGTTGTATATGCTTGAAATACTTCCCATTGTGGTCACTGACATGCATTACCTAGAACTGATTTTAGCGATACATGGCCATTGCCTAGCCAGCTCGAGGTAAACTACACATCAATGGCAGTTGCTTACAACCTGGATACCTTGATTCTGGCGATACATGGCAATTGCCAAGTCAGCTCGCGGTAAACTACACATCAATGGCAGTCAGTGGCATCCTGGATACCTGGATACCTGGATACCCGGAGGCGTAATCTCTGACTCACAGGGTGAGGTGTAATGACACTCCATCTGTCACGGTCACGGGCTGCCGTTGCACATACTGCCATATCCAGGCTAGTCTATGTTCTTTTGTTTTCAACGACAACAAGCCTATCGTAGTCAGTAAGTGGTTGCAAATACTTTACGTTATAATACAGAAAATAGTTCGACGACCAGCCCAGACTGAGAAGGTTTCAAGCATACTGGGATACTCGATTAATATAACATCCTTCCGCAAGAATTGAATCGCCGTCTTCCTCGCACCACAGCTTAAAAAAACCCAAAGATCGTACATAACAAAATAGTTCACTCCTCTCTTTGAGCCAGTTTAAAAAAGTGTCCTTAAAAATCCGGCGGCGCCCTCTTCTAAAAGATGCGGACTTTGCGAACAGAGTTACCCTACTTGTGTGAAAAACAATGGAAAGCGAAACTAACAAACTATGCTTTTCCTATTCTTCTTCTGTAGAAACGAAAGAGAGCTTCAAAACAAAGACATCAGCGCCTTCTGAACCAATGCGTGGACTTCCGCGGACACTTTTTTTGGCCGAGTGAACTATCTTGTTATGAAAGATCTTTGACAATACTTAAATAACAAAGTCAATAGTGCTTACCAAAACTGAGTTTCTCTCCTGATTCCTGTGGTATGAGGAAGACCATGATGTTGAGAAGGGAAAGGACCATGATGGGTAGTATAGTGTTCATGAACAGGAACATTGGCCGTCTACGGAGCTTGATCTCGATCTGTAGGCGTTTGTTTGTTTTATTAAAGAGGAAAACATCGACATAATAATGGCCATTTAGTGCTAGGCAAAATAAGACAGACAGTAACAACAGAGGGAGAGAGACGTAATTTGCTTGTTTGGGTAGAGAAGAACAGTGACACAATAATGGTTATTTTGTGCTGGAAAAAATGAGGCAAACAGACAGATGGCAATAACAGGGGGAATGAAAAGAAGTCTGTTTGTTTGAATAAATTGACACACATCGGCATGGTAACGGTCTATAGTGCTGGGAATAATAAGACAAGACAGACAGAAAGAAAGGAAGGAAAGAAAAGAAGTAGGATCTATAAATAGCGTGCTCCAACCACCTTTAATCGGTGAACTGTTTAAAAAAAATACAAGGTAAAATCAAATAGTCATTATAATTTCATCATCATCATCATCATCATCATCATCATCATCATCATCATCATCATCATCATCATCATCATCATCATCATCATCATCATCATCATCATCATCATCATCATCATCATCATCAAAAACATAATGATGTTTTCCTTGAAGCATGGTTACTACATTGTCATGTTGACAATAGTTACAAAAATGATATCCGCCATGTAACAAAAAACAATATAAATTATAGTTACAGTTTATTTTTGGGGGAAATGTTTATACACCCACCCCCACCCCAACCCTTTTACTCCCTTTTTCCCGTTCCTTTGCTTTTTCATTTATACTTTGATGAAACATTTCCCAATGTTAAATTTGAAATAGTTACGGTTATATCTAGATCTAGATCAGTAGCAGTCAGTTTGTATCCTTGCGAAAGGAATTTTACAGGAATTTCCCTCATTTCACTTAGGTTGGATTGTGCACCAGGCTATTGACAGATCTTGTCAATCTGGTAGTGTTTGAGCGCATGCAATCTGCAGCTTGCACTGTATGCTTCTTGGGAGGCCGATAATGTTCTGAGTGTTTTAGGGTCTTTTGGGCTAATAAACAATAATTGTTTAGCGCACAGAGCAATCTCCTTCTCCTCCTCCTCCTCCTCCTCCTCCTCCTCCTCCTCCTCCTCCTCCTCCTTCTTCTTCTTCTTCTTCTTCTTCTTCTTCTTCTTCTTCTTCTTCTTCTTCTTCTTCTTCTTCTTCTTCTTCTTCTTCTTCTTCTTCTTCTTCTTCTTCTTCTTCTTCTTCTCCTTCTCCTCTTTCTCTCTCTCTTTTCCTCTCTCTCTCTCTTCTTCCTCTCTCTCCTTCTCTCTCTTCTTTCTCTTCTTCCTCTTCTTCTTCTTCTTCTTCTTCTTCTTCTTCTTCTTCTTCTTCTTCTTCTTCTTCTTCTTCTTCTTCTTCTTCTTCTTCTTCTTCTTCTTCTAATTATCATAATTATTATTTTATTAACAATATTTTTTTAAAAATTGTTTTTATAATCATTGAATTATTATGATTATTACATATTGTGTTACTATTTCTACTAATATCATTATTATGACTGTTGTTATTATTATCGTTGAATTATCGTTAGTATCATCATTATGACTATTACATATTATTATTATTGTGTTAATATTATTACTAATATCATTATTATTATTATTATTTATTAATATTTTCGTTATTATTAATATTATTATCATTATTATTATTACTATTATTATTATTATTATTATTATTATTATTATTATTATTATTATTATTATTATTATTATCATCAATATTTCTTTATTAATATCGTCTTTATCGTTGTTATTATTACTGTTTCGATTATTATTATTATTATTATTATTATTATTATTATTATTATTATTATTATTATTATTATTATTATTTTTACTAATCTGTTTATTATTATTATCATTTTATTTTTGCAGTTATTATTATTATTACTTTTATTATTATCATTATTATTATATTATTATTATTATTATTATCATTATTATTATTATTATTATTATTATTATTATTATCATCATTACTATCATTACTATTATCAGCACATTGACAACCTGTTGACCTATGTTCCTGATTGTTCCTTACTTCAATGGGTGCCAAGTTGTCATCCGAAAGTTTACTTCCATAAGCGATGATTGTTGCGTTGAGAAGATCCCATTCCCCGTGGGGCTTCAGGACGCCCGTAAACACCGTGGTTGTCTCGGAAACGAACTCGACCTCAGCAAGTATATAGTTCATGCTGAAGAACTGAATAATATAGGAGTGAAGAAAGAAATAAGGGGTCAGTGGAAGGTTGAGTGGGATGTGGGGCGCAGGGAGGGGGGGGGGCGTGTCGTCAGAGTCAGGATAAGATACCTAACTTTTTAGCAATGAATCTGGTTTTCGATAACAAAAGTGCATTATGTAATAATACTATGCCATTAACCAATTTGAATTTTAGTGACTGTTGTTCGCAGAGAATAGCCCATTTATTTTGATTATCTGATACTTTCTTTAGAAGTAATTGATTCACCAAGTTTTAAAATATTATAGCCATGAAAACACCTTTTGAGCTATACAGCTTCCTTTCTGTGAAGCTCTTCGAACGCCAAAGAGGTTAAGACGAAACTAGTCAGAGAGAAAGAGAGTTTGTAGTTTTATCCTTTTTAAAAATAAGTGTATTATTTTTTCAGTATTTATGATCGTCAGCCCATGTCACTGAAAACGCTCATTCATTTATACGTTTCCATGATGAAATAATACAGGTTGTGAATCATATAACTAATAAAAGAAAAAGAAGTTGGAAAATGCATCCTCGTATCCATTGCTTTTAGTTAATTAATGTTTGACTTGAATTTCAGTACCTTGAAACTAATAGTTTACTTTTTTTTTTTTACATAGTTAAGCAAAACAGGCAGAGTGAATTCATTTTCAGATTTTAGTTCATTGCTTTTTGTTGACTGCTTTAACTTCATTTTACTAAAGACTTAAGAGGAAGCATTCGGGCACTAATAGTAAATTATATGATATCTTATCAAAAGAAAATACATATCTGGTTAAGAGAATAGATGGCTGTGCATGTAGTGCCCTCTAACAACCGTGTCCTCCACCCAAAAAAAATAAAAAATATATATATTAAAAAATAATTGAAAAATCGCCAGATTTCTCCATGATATTTTTAGGAAACTGGTAAATAAATTAAACATGGCAAAGTCCGAAGCGTTATCCAACGTTTCCTTGTATACACTCAGAATAGTGTGTGCTCTACTGTGGTTCGCTGTTGTTTCCTACCAAACATCTATCGTACTCCTTTTCTTTACAAGTTACGCACTTGAAATACGTGCAATCTTCGACAACTATAATAATATAATCAATTGTGTTGCATTTTGCAGTTAAACTCGTACTAATACTAAATCAAAAACCAAAAGAAAAAAAAAGTATAGTTCCCTCACACCTCCAGTGTGCACGTCTGTTCATCGAAAGGGAAGTTGGTCACGTCCATCTCACAGTGCACGTTGAAGAGTGCGCCCGGAATCCATGAAGCGTATCCTGATTTGTCCACTAGTAGAGGCCTGTGGATGGCAGGTTATCGGAACGGCGTAAATACGTAATGGCATAATATGTCGGAACGGCATAATTTTTGTTATAGTAACGGCGCATACGTCTCTTTGATCATGATAGTCGAATACTACATAGTAGGTTCAATTTTGCACATTAAATCGACCGAATACTTAGTGTGTATGTTTCTCTGCTTGCGAGTCACGAGTCCCGCACTTTTTGTTTTTGTAAAGTGTTTTACGGCGCTCGCAACTGCATAAGGTCACATGAGCGCGCGGGACACTCCTAATATTTTTAGTTGGTAGAAAATTTTGAATTTTTCCCGGGTGGCTGCCGAAGCCTACTCTTATCGATTTTAGACCACCAGGGATCTTTAACGTGCGCAACTTGCACACGGGCTCTCCGAGATTTTTCGCTCTTGTCCGAGAAGGCTAGGTGTAGATCTTTCCTACCTGAAGATCAGGGGTGTGGCTGAAAGACAGCAGTAAGAAGTCCCGCACTTTACCAGTACTTACTATAATGTGTCCCGCTGTGGTGTACAAGTGTCCGTAAAGTCACGTGAATCATTCTCAAGATGAAAATGACAACGAACAGAAAGCGCAAAGCTGACAGGGAACATGAAAAAAAAGATTCGAGTTGATAACCAGCTACAAACAAGGACAAATTTATCTGCAATAATCGGGTTTATCTTTCTCATTCCTAAAGTAATCTTCCATGAACTGCTGTCGGCGATACATACGCCGTTCCAATATACATTCCCTATTGTTCTCAGTACAATAAATTTGAAAACTACGCCGTTCCGATATACTGCCCTGTGGATGGCCACATTGAGGGTGCTATGGTATGGCTGTTCCCTCTCGTGTAACACAGCATTATGATGTGGTGTGTACAGTATTGTTCTATGGTATGGCATAGTGCTGTAGTATAGTACAATGGAATGGCATTGTTAGTATTGCAATGTGCTATGGCATAACATTATTAGTAAATACTGTGGTTTGGTACCACGGTCTGGTATTGTGCTACGCCCACCCCCTCCAACCCCTACCCCCCCCCCAGTACAGTGCTACTGACTGAAGTGTCTTTAGGCCATTCCCAAAAAGGGGGATATTAACATGTTCTTAAGCATAGTAGACTTGTAAATGGGCTGATTTATCAATGTTATGCTAATGCTGTGCCGGAACAACATAGAGGGAATTGCTGCTTTTTCTTTCCCCATCCTTACTATCGTCATTTTTTCTCTACTTCTGCTTTTTTGTCACTTTCTTCTGATCTGCTATTTCCGGGGTGCCTTGATAGTCGAAGCAGACTTTGTGCTGTAGAGGCTAGAGAGGTGAGCAAAGTAAGGGTGATGTGATTTTCCGTATGGACTTCTCTGTTGACATCAACCCCTTGGTGCTCATATTGCCTTATGCACTTGTGAGCGCCGTAAAATCTTACTAAAACAAACACATTGTGCTATGGTATGTCTCTCATTTTCTCTGTCTCTCTCTCAGTCTCTCTGTCTCTCTCTCTCTCTCTTTCTTTCTCTCTCTCTCTCTCTCTCTCTCTCTCTCTTTCT